TATCACACCTCAGGTAATCATAGGGGAATAGATGAAACGTTTTGGAAGATGAGACAGGACATTTATTTTCCATTTATGAAAAACCGAGTAACACAGGTCATTAATGCGTGTGAAACTTGCCAGACATTGAAATATGATCGGCAACCGCAAAAGGTGGTATTTCAAAATACGGAAACCCCGTGCAAGCCACTTGATATCATTCATACGGACTTATATACAATCAACAAAAACTATGTAATAACAATAATAGACAAGTTTTCAAGGTTTGCGGTGGGATACACTATACCGGCAAGGGACAGTTTAAATATTGTTAAATCAATAAAGAAGTTCATAGGTCAGTACGGCGTTCCTAAAAAGATCATATGTGACCAAGGCGCAGAGTATGCCTCGGCACTATTCAAGGATTTCTGTAGGCAGTACGGAATTGAATTGCATGTGACGTCATTTCAACAATCGTCCAGCAATTCACCGGTTGAAAGGCTTCATCAACACTGACAGAAATTTATAGGATAATTATGAAAACAAGGAAGGACTTAAAACTAGAAAATGAGCATGAGGAAGTTTTAGATGAAGTTTTCCTAACTTATAATAACTCAATACACTCCAGTACGAAATTGAAGCCGTTCGAATTGTTCTCGGGGAGAACACACGTTTTTGAGCGGGAAATTAATTTCGATAGAGAGCACGAGTACTTAAGGAAGTTAAATGCATATCAGGAGGAAATTTATAAGGAAGTTAAGAACAGGTTGGAAAGACAAAAACAGGAAAGGACGCGAAAACTCAATGAAGGAAGAGAAGAACCCATGGAGTTAGAAAAAGAGGATGTAGTTTATAGGAAGGAGAATAGAAGAAATAAGTTAACACCTAGGTTTACGGAACACACAGTAGATGAGGATAATGGGGTTACATTCGTTACAAAAAAGAAACAGAAGATACATAAATCAAAAATTAATAAAAGAATTAAACAAAATAAAAACTAATCAATCACGGTTACAGGTGCATATCAGTCCATGGACAGACAATGGAGGTGAAAGCACTAAAACGAGAAGAGGCGATCGTAAAAATGGAACTGGGAAAGGCAAGAGTAATGGTCTTTGGACTTTGACCATATAGAACTATGAAGGTAATATTGCACAGATTGAGAACGCGTTGTTAGACATGGAGAAGGTTAGATTCTCAGGTGAGGCAGTCCAGGTGGTTAAGGAAAAATTGTATCAGGTGAAGGAGAAGCTAGAAGTACTTAAACCAAGAAATAGGGTCAAAAGAGGAATTTTTAATGGATTAGGGAGCATGATAAAAATAGTTTCGGGAAATATGGACGCATATGATGAGGAGAAAATAGGAAATAGAATAAAAGAATTGAGAAATGAAACAAGGTTTCTTACAAAAGAAGCAGAAGAGCAAAGAACCTTTTATCAGGAAACCTTGAGTAGGTTTACGAAAATTACTAAGCATATAAATAAGGAGCAGGAAGATATAAATTTGTTTATAAAGAATTATAAGAATAACGTATTTAGGGAACTAACACAAGAGCACAATGAAATACATATGCTCCAGCATTTGAATAGGATTAGTTACAGTATTGATTTGTTAGCAGTACACTTAAACAATATTGCGGAAAGCATATTGTTAGCGAAACTTCGCATTGTGCCTAAATTCATTTTAGCAGAGACAGAATTAGAGAGGATTATACAGTTTGTAGAGAGTCAAGGGCTCAAAATTGTTTCAAATGAACAAGTTTACGAACTAATAAATATACAGACACAAATAAATGAGACAGACATAATATTTAGGGTAAGAGCTCCAATTTTTGAGCCAAATGTTTATCAGCTATATCATGTTATACCAATTCCAATTAATGGAACTCATTTATTAATAATACCAAATTATGTAGCAATTAATAAGTATAAAATAAGTTTCTTTAACAACCAATGTTCAAAAGTTCATGAAACTTTTATTTGTGAGAGCGAAGAGTTGGGTGTTGAGACAAAAGGAAAGGAGTGCTTGAGGAAGATTTTAACGAACAAACCACCAATATGCGATTCAGTAAATCTAGAGGGAAGAGAAATGTTTTGGCACCTGAGGATGGACACATATTCATTTTCAATGCCTTGAACTTACATACCTGTAAACAACACGTGTGGAGAAGATATTACAATATCAGGGGCGTTAGCAATCAAATATGCAAACTGTTCGATCGAAATAAATGGCATAAAGTATGATGGCCAAGTTATGGAACATAAAGAGGACCATATAGTACTTACCACTACAATAAGTAAGCAGATACTTATAAATAACACTAAACAGGAGTTAAACCTAGAAGTTTTACATCTTGAAGATATGAGAAACCTCAAAAAAGTAGTGTACATGGGAAAAGTACAGGAAACACATTTTTCCGTAATATATGGTATGCTGGTGCTTCTAGCGATAACGGTACTGGCAATATAGAGAATTAGAAAAACAAAAACAATCTTCACCCCCAATGCCTTTTCTCACAATGTCGCTCTGGATATACCACAGATGTGGCCATCGCTCCATTCTAGGGGGGGAGGAGTTACCGTACCGGTACCATCGACTATGCCACCGCCTAAACCTCCCCGTGTTACCCTCTTCCAAGTGGACAGTGACCGACAGCTAGCCGTTCGTTGTCCCACATAAGTTGCACATAAGAAATGCAACATCAGCACAAGGCAGGATGTTGCTAAACGACACCCACTCAGCAGAGCTCCAGAAAATACTTTGTTAGCATTTACTCACCCACAAATACATAATTGTAAACACATAAAATTCTTTGGCGGAGGTTTGATTTGAATCTCAAGCCACAATAAAAATTATTCCGTTTGGAACAACCAAAGCGAACACATCAACTGTTTATATATAAACGTTAACTGAATATTGGATGAGTAAGAATCACCGTTAACTACTACCGTTACAACATACTATAACTCACGCGGTGGTCATGCGAAAGAAATCGAGTTTCATAATTAAATGTATATGTTCAAATTCGATAATAAAAAAAAAGTAAGTTGAAAAGTCAAACGGTTTGTGTTTTATTAAAAAAAAAAGTTGAAGCGCTCCTATTGAAAAATCCTTTACAATTTAACTGAACTCAGCTGATGATACCAAGGTCGTAGGGTGCAAAAAGAACCACCAGAGTCGTGCTCCAGTGCCAGGTGATTATAGGTGTGGTAAGCAATAAGCGTGCACGACAATATCTGTGTCTAATTTGTGTTTAATTTCTCCCTTTCTAATTCCTTGTATGTTCTACCAATTTTTTTTCTCTTTCTAGGATGAATTTATTTATTCCGGCTTACTAACTTTTTATTTCGCCGCTAGCAAGCTCAATACTTGTTTAAGTAGTAATAATGTGTAGATAGTGTCGGGATCAGTGAGAACAAGACCGGACTCTACAGCGTTCCCCGCATCCTCCGAGTCTCAACACTTCAGTCAAACGTTACACTCTGCAGAAACCAACACGTACCTTAAAGTTAATCAATTATTAAACTAGGAATGTATATCAAGAAAATAATCGAAAGTGGAATGAATCATTAGACTATATCAAACAACGTGGGATAACTGCGTCACGCTGATATGGCGTATTTGTCAGTATCTAGAATCCAGTTAGCCTACATCCGACAACCAGCATTCTCAATCGGGAAACAACAGGCCACACATTTAGTCATTTTGGCTACTGCCTTATTTTAATTTTGTCAGCGGCTGTAACAGGATAGGACTCCTGTTATCAGATAACTTTTTTTTACCGATGATTTTCAACAAATACTTCGTACAACTCGTACCAAGCGGCTCGTTAAAATTCGCCTCATAGGTGATTCGCGCACCCAAAGAAGCTTTAAAACTGAGAAACTAGTTTGCGTAGAAACGGACGGAAAGATGGACGGACAGACGGACGGACAGATGGACTCTCCTACTCTCTCAAGAATATATACATTTTATAGGGTCGGAAACGTCTCCTTCAGTGCGTTGCTAACTTGTGATTGAAATTATAATACCCTCTGCAATGGCATAATGAAATAAATGAAAAAAAAAATTGTAACTTTTCTAATTTTTTTTTTGTAATTCTTTTGGTCATAAAACAGTTACACATGAAACTAATACCAAGAAATCATCGTTGTACGTAGACGATTTTCTTACTGTTTCCGATATCGTGGAACCGATACCGTCAATCAATCAATTTAAAACAGAGGCCTCCAAAATTCTTACTAGGGTGCAATTTCAATCTCGAAATATGGCATTTTAACTACACGGACTTTATCGAACCTTAACTTAATTTCACTTAACTTTATCGAACCTTAACTTGGAAGATAATTCAGTTACCAGCACCTAGATACAGTCTCCTAACGCACTATCTGGTCGATAGCGTCATCGTTTTTGCCCCCTTTGGGATTAGTATCCCTATAATCATAGTCGCTAAAATTATTCTTCTAGAGTTATGTATAAACTGTGCATTGCTATCATTCCTTGCATCGATGTCGTCACGGCAATTCGTTTGAATGCCTTGTTATTGCTTAAGCCCAGACACGTTAAGCCTAGAGCTACATGGGTTTTGTTGGACAGATCGCAGCAGCTATACCTGGGAAGGACAATAGTGTACGCGTTGCCGATGTCCGCGCCGCTTAGGGAGTTTGCACTACTTGACTTGAAAGTCCTTTCAACGGGGCCGGAATGTCTTCGCCCCAAGTCTTGAAAACATTGTAAATTTAAAGAACGCGCAGTGAAGACTGTTTAAAATAATGTTAAGCTTCTATCATGTTTAACGGCCTTGCCAATACAAAACTTCGATATAATTCGCCTGTCAAAAATCACACACACTTGTACACAGATCACGACTGCAGTAAAACTTCCGAAACTTCCGATCATCCACTGACTAAAAGGAGACAGTATCTCAAACATTTAATAGGAACGATTAAAAAATATAAATCTCAGTTTGTTTAAGCCTGTCGTAATTTTAAGAAAAATGGGGTAAGGGAGTAATAACTTACATGCTTTATTACAGTGTAGGGTCGGTAATCAAACCCAGCAATGATTACTTCTCGACCCTGCAAGTCCTTAAGTTTGTCCGGGAATAAGAATTTTCCCAACTGAAATCGCTGCTCAGAGGCCAAGTATCTGTCGATCAGTCTTAGCTGGGCAGGCTTCCCAGATTTTGGTCCAACATATTTGTTGGTTTTTAACTCGAAAACAGTGCCGGATGAACGATTTCGCACAACAAATAGGATGTTTGGTTGATCTAAAAAAAAACTATGCTTTGCTTAAAATAATTTATTAATATATTCAAATTTAACAAAAACCACATTTAAAGCAATAAAAGAATCAATCTTCAGCAAGCCGATGTTTACATACCCTTTGAAGCTATTTCAAAATTAAATATTTTTTATAACATCTTAACTTCGATTTATATGCGTTTATGTTCAAAAATTTGAAGCTTTGACGAAAGCTATATAAAATCGTGTTCTTCATAAAATTTAAAGCGTTTTTCTGAATTATTAAACCATTTCTATGCCCAAACCAATTTAATAAAAAATTAAAAATAGAAAAGTTAAAACAAGAAAGAAAGCAAACTTCGGCAAGCCGAAGGTCATATACCCTTGCAGCTATTGCAAGAATTATACATTTTTGAAAACATTAAAATTATGATTTACTTGCGTATTTAAACCATAATTCTGAAATATTTAACCATTGCTATATGTCGAAGAACTAAAAAAAAAATTAAAAAACAGCAAAGTTATAATTTTTTTCAATTATTTTTCCGATTGTTCCTATGGGAGCTATATGCTATAGTCTTCCGATTTTGATGAAATTTTAACCATAATTCTAAAATAATTAAACATTGCTTTATGTCGAAGAACAGAACAAAAAATTAAAAAACAGCAAAGTTATAATTTTTTTCATTTATTTTTCCGATTGTTCCTATGAGAGCTATATGATATAGTCGTCCGATTTTGATGAAATTTAAACCATAATTCTGAATTATTTAACCATTGCTATATGTCGAAGAACTAAACAAAAAATTAAAAAACAGCAAAGTTATAATTTTTTTTCAATTATTTTTCCGATTGTTCCTATGGGAGCTATATGCTATAGTCGTCCGATCCGGCTCGTTCCGGCTTATATACTACCTGCAATAGAAAGACAACATTTGGGAAAGTTTCATGCAGATAGCTTTAAAACTGAGAGACTAGCTTGCGTAGAAACGGACGGACAGACGGACGGACAGACGGACAGACGGACAGACGGACATGGCTAGATCGACTCGCCTAGTGATGCTGATCAAGAATATATCTACTTTATAGGGTCGGAGATGTCTCCTTCACTGCGTTCGATCAGCTAAGTATTGTAATAGATGCCTTGACCAAATTAAATGTCTAGCTTAAAAATTTTAAGTTTTATTTACGCGCCTTACGATATTCACAACTACTCTGCAGCCCTGTTCGATAATCTCGAGTAATTTGGGTAATTTTGTCAGCGGCTGTAACAGGATAGGACTCCTGTTATCAGATAACTTTTTTTTACCGATGATTTTCAACAAATACTTCGTACAACTCGTACCAAGCGGCTCGTTAAAATTCGCCTCATAGGTGATTCGCGCACCCAAAGAAGCTTTAAAACTGAGAAACTAGTTTGCGTAGAAACGGACGGAAAGATGGACGGACAGACGGACGGACAGATGGACTCTCCTACTCTCTCAAGAATATATACATTTTATAGGGTCGGAAACGTCTCCTTCACTGCGTTGCTAACTTGTGATTGAAATTATAATACCCTCTGCAATGGCATAATAAATGAAAACAAAATTGTAACTTTTCTAATTTTTTTTTTTTAATTCGTTTGGACATAAAACAGTTACACATGAAACTTATACCAAGAAATCATCGTTGTACGTAGACGATTTTCTTACTGTTTCCGATATCGTCACTCAATCAATTTAAAACAGAGGCCTCCAAAATTCTTACTAGGGTGCAATTTCAATCTCGCAATCCGGCTCGTTCCGACTTATATACTACCTGCAATAGAAAGACAACTTTTGGGAAAGTTTCATGCAGATAGCTTTAAAACTGAGAGACTAGTTTGCGTAGAAACGGACGGACAGACGGACGGACAGACGGACGGACAGACGGACGGACAGACGGACAGACGGACGGACAGACGGACAGACTGATAGACGCACAGACGGATATGGCTAGATCGACTCGTCTAGTGATGCTGATCAAGAATATATAGACTTTATAGGGTCGGAAACGTCTCCTTCACAGCGGTGCAAACTTTTGACTGAAATTGAAATGCCCTCTGCAAGGGTATAAAAAGTGAATGTTTTAAAGACAAATAAAAACGAAAGCATGAAAAAAAGCAAAAATGTATATATGCATAAAAGTTACTTTTTTAGCAACCAAATCTTTGAAAACACATCAGTTTTGTATATTATTAAATGTGATACACAATAATGTGTGTATGTGTATGTGTTTTTATTATCAGGTGATTGATGTCAGAATGACGTCCAGAATGAACTATAAATAGTGGTCGAAGGACATTCTCCTTGTTTTTACATTTTTCAAATTTTAGTCTAGACTGGTTGCCATTTATACACGCCTCGCATATTTCGTGGTTTGGCTCAACATTGCTCAACAGACAAATATCATGAAAGAGGCTATTTCATTCTATTTATAAAAATTGGCCTACATTTATTTGTACCAATATTTCATGCCAAAATCGATATTTAGCACTTTTTGAAACCCTTGGTGTGAGTATTGTGTTGTTCAATTTAAATTTTATAGATGGTAAAATTTTTAGAAACTTCGCCTCCAGAGTTGAACTCTAGGGTCATCCCAGCATCATGCATCTTCTTTACCGAGAGTAAGTTGTGCAGAATGTCCTTGCAGAACAGCACCTTTAGTAGGGGTATTTGGTTTCTAGAGATGATGTGGTTAGGAACTCATTTGGCTGTAGCATAAAGATATTCTTCGCGTTTGGCAATCTCAATAGACACATTTGATTGCAAACGCTCATACTCAGAGAACAAGTCTGCGTCATTTATGAGGTGATCCGATGCCCCTGAGTCGTAGATAAACTCCACCTCATTTGCACTCAGACTGGATGTTCATCTTCTCATCATGAACGCGAAACTACGCTCCGACTGCTGCTGCTGTTGCCTGCCATTCCTCTCCACTATTTTTATTCAAATTCTGATTTCCCTGCTTTTTCAAAAAGAAACTATCTTTCCTCATATGGACTAATTTTCCACAATGAAAGGATTTAGGTTTTGGCATGAGGTAGGGTATAAACAGAATCTTTTCAATCTTCTGCATGCCGTTATTTTAATACCCGTTACTTGTAGAGTAAGTGTGAAAACACTACGGGCAAAACTACATCGCCAACAATAATTGACGTCGCTGCCAAAAACAAAGCTTGAGACGAAGACAAAATTCAGCGTGCGGGACCGGCTACGCAGACTTTTATGGAATGATATATGAAATTACCAAACGTAAGCCTTAAAAAAAAATAAATGGAGGGCAGTATACCTAAAATAAACCGTACCACCGAATTTTCTGAAGCACCTTATAACAACTGATTTTCGGCCTTGGCGGATTATGAAACAAACCAATCGGAACCTGTAGAATTAACTTCATGAAAATCAAAGCCCCCACTTATATTTATTTGGGAAAAGATAAAATAGTTGAGCTGGTCGGGAAAAATATCTTTATTTGTTATTTCCCTTATTTAAGGAGCTCAAAATTCGAATTCGTCGTGCAAGAACGGCACGTTCTCAGGCAACAAAAAACGTTCACTTTACACCGCAAACCCCACCTGAAGTTTTCTTCGACAGAGCAGCCAGATTCTCGTTTGGACCTTCAATCACCACCAACGGCATCTAATATGTCAGTGCCCTAAAAACAGGAACAACTCGCGCAGAGCCGAGAACACCTTGCATAAAAATGTGAAAACCACTATGCAAAATCTTGCATCTCAGCAGTCCAAATAAACCATGTCTTGCCTATGAATATCCCTATGTAATGCCAACGGCGTTTCCCGGCATAAACTTGAAATTTTTCAGTTCCCGAACGAAAATCACATCGACGTTATGTTGCTAGCAGAAACGCACCTTACAAGCAAATATAACTCTAAACACAAAATTACCCGTTCTACGGAACTGTTCATTCAAATGGCAAAGCAGTCGGCAGAACCAGCATCTTAATAAGAGACCGAATCAAAAACCACTTTCACCAATGGCTTGCATAAAACTATTTGCAAGCTACATCGATAAAGTTACAACTGGGCAACTGCAATCTTGCCATTGCCGCTGTCTATTGTACACCTCGCTTTTCAGTTTCTGAAGGCCAAATCATCGATTTCTACAATTAACTTGGAGATTGCTTCAAAGCAGCAGGGGACTATAATGCCAGGCATACGCACTGGGGATATCGCCTTGTGACCCCGAAACGAAGGCAACTATATAACGCAATCATCAAAATATGCAACGAACCGAACAACGTTTCACCAGGCACACCTAAAAACTGGCCAGCAGAACCAAGAAAACTTCCAGATTTAAAATGTGACAAAAAATATATCTCGCAATCTGATAAGTATTAAATCGGTCTTTAATTGTCCTTTCATTGGTCTACTTTCCAGTCCTATTGACTCTTCTCCAAGCCCCGAAAATACTCGTCACACAGAACCAACTGGACTAAATACTAAAAGTATGTAAGTTCCCAAATTGAACTAACCCCTCAGCTCAACATCAAGGAGGACATCAATTGCTGTTCCGACCCACTGGAATCTGTACTCGTCGCAGCAGCCATTATATTTAAACCACAAGAGATAGATGTGCAGACCAACCAATACAAAAATAATCTCCAAATTGAGCGGCTTGTTTCGGAAATGAGACGTTTGAGACGTGCTTGCCAAAACAGCAGGTCACCAATCTGCAATGGCTAAAGGAGGCTACTCGCAGACTTACCAGGAAGAAGAAAAGCGCAACGCCCGTACATTGAAAAACTGTGTCCCACTGTGTCTAGCACGTTCAAATGCACTTTCTTTGTTAGATGTTTTGTGGTCTTTGATAAGCAAAGAGAATTGGGTTCGCGCCTCTTTTTGTTTCTCTTTGTCAATAATAGTTTTGAGGATTTCCTCTCCGTCCGCAATGTATTTTAAGATAATGATAAAAAATGTTAATGATAAAAAATGTTAATGATAAAAAATTCTTCTTAGAGCTATTGTAAGTAAAATGGAAATGGTCGGAATGACGACGTCTGCTTA